AAGTACTAATCTTGGAACACGTATTTAACTTTTTCTGTTTAATGTTAATAACGTTTCTTTTGTATTAACATATTTTTGTCAACGTAAAAATCTTATCATATTGAAAAAATTTAACAAGAATTTTTCAGATAATATCGTCAAAGTTGTTTAACCATATTGTCTGAAGAATCAAAGACCAAAAGAAAAAAAAATTAAAGGAAAAAAGAGTTAAAAGGCAATAGGACGTCAAGAAAGCTGATCCTCTAGTGTCTCCCTAACTATTGTATAAGACCAGGAAGCCTAAAATGAATTTAGTCAATTTAACTAAATAGTTAAACGGTTTTGCACCTTCGATGACACAGTCTCATTTCGAAAGTGAGAAAAAATAATAATAAAGGAGTTAAACAATGGAAAATGGATGGATTAAACACAATCTAAGAAAGTTACGGTTGTGAACTTTATGGCTATCCAAAAGAAAGTTACTCGATAGAAGAGGTGGTTAATACAATTTTTTTAAAGTAAATTATATGTTATGATGGTGTAAATTATTTTACATTACTAGTGTGATTTTTAATTTGCTATACCATGTTACTTAGCTAGTATTTGGATATAGATTTAGTTGAAACTTGAAAAAATAATTTTACATAGATTTCGTTGAAACTTGAAAAAAGAATTTTTGAAGTTGTGTTGAAAAATAATTTTTGAAAGTTGAATTTGTGTTTGGACATACATTTTACTTTTTTAAAAAAAAGGTTGAAGCTTTATGAGTGGGAAAAAAATTTCACCCCAAAACAGCCATAACCAATTTTTGGGAACTTGAAATCTTTTTCAATTTCTTTAAAAAAATTGATCATATTCCATGAACAAATAATGTTTCTTAAAAAATATATCAAAAAAAAAAAAATTGCCAAAAATTATGGCTAAACGGGAGCTTACTCTTAGTTCATGATTGCCAGTTAAGAGTAGCTATAACAATTTAATAACCGATAGTGTATAATTTCTTTAATTACTAGACATAAAAACCGTTGTTTTGCATTATTAATGTGATTTATTAGTTTGTTATATAGTACATAATAGGTTACTTACCTTTTAATTTTTATTCCAGGTTAAATTGCACTTAGTTATCTTTTTATAATAGTCTTACTGTGTAAATAGTATCTTAACGCCATAAGTGAAATGAAAAGAGATGAATCTTGCAGAAATTAAAAGACCAATTAGCCTCAATATGTTAAGGTGAAAATTGAAATCAATTGTAGATTTGGAAACACACTGATTAAGAACATACTCTCAAGTAACCTTAGTACATACAGAAGCCTTTTTAATCAGAAAATGAGCCAGAATAATGTAGCTCATCTGCCACAATTAATAAATAGTGGTGCAGTTTTAGGAACTATTTACTTACTAATCCTATCGTAGTTCATTTTCAAGTGAATATAATTTAGAGATATAATTATACAGAAGAGCATATGTTTTTTTACGTTAAAAAAGCTGGAAGTAATAATTCTAAGCTCAAAATTAGATAGGTAATGTAAGCACGGTAATGGTAAAAGAGACAAATAAACCAAAATAAGCTAACCAATAATTAGCTGTGTGTAGTGAAAAAAACTGCCACTTCCGTATACGAGCGCAGTAGCTGTGCAACAGCAACATAATATTCCGTCTTTCATTGTTGCCATTTGCATTCTTCATCATCCCTAATTCTTCACCACTACCAGCTAGCATGACAACTTCTTCATCTTCCACTACTTCCATGGCAGCTTCTTTTCATCTTCCATTTCAATGCCAGTTTCTTCTTCCACTACCATGGCAGCTTTTTCTTCATCTTCCATGCCAGCTTCTTCTTCAGCCTCCCTTCCAGCTCCAGCTAGCGAGATTCAACCTACTTCTCCTCCCTCCCCCGCACCCGATGATAACCAAATATTTCAAGTTTTTAGAAAAGATCCACATTATGAGAATTTTGCTTATGTGAATAGCAAGAAGTTAAAACTTTTCCCTCTTCAGATCTTAAAGAAGAGATTCTTAAGGGATAACAAGGTTGCCTATGTTGCAGAAATTAATGACAAGCTCGTCCTGCATTTAAGATATCCTTTTATTTTATTCATTCATTTAATTATTACTCCACTCTACTACTACCTATTATCCATAGATTTCATGTGGTTTCTGTTGATTTTTCTATTAGCCCCTTAGCCATGATTATTAAGTACTATTTCACCACTTTTCATGATTTGACGTGTTGCTGCTGCCGCCATGAAACTAGTCTACTCTACCTAGATTTTCAGTATATCTTTTTGTTTTTATTCTTTCTAAAAACTCCCCCTGCCATGGGTTCTGAAGGTGACGGTTCCGTATTCAGCCTCCTCATCCCTATATTTTGTTTCCGGGATATAATCGTTCTATATATTTTTATTTATTGTTTTTTTAGCGTATTCTTTCAAAATTTTGTACCTATTTAATTTATTCGTTCTAATTTATATACTCACTTTATTTGATAATTTGTGCGTGTAAATACCCTTACTCCACTGTCACACTCGTTAGTTTCTTCTCTAGCTAATCAGTGCCACAATTTGTTTTGCTCTTGAATTAGGGTGCAATTTTTTTCTTCGCAAAGTACAATAGTTACTCTTAAAATCGTTTACAAGTTCTTTTAGCTAAGTTGTAATGGATTTTCAAATTTTGGCACCGTACGTCGTACCTATTTTTGATTTTGCTAAGTGATATAATAGTTGAAATAACTCTGAAGGATCTTCTTCCTTTTATTTGCATTCTTTGGATGTAAGACTTGTTTAATTAACTCAATCTTCCTCAGGTTTTTTTAGTGGATATTGATCTTTTGGATGCTCCATTCATGGAAACTGTATGTTTTGTATTCATTGCCCATTCTGATATGACTTTATCTGTGTATTGGGGTTGTGACTGCTTTTGCCCTTTCTAGCTGCCATTTCTATCAATAATGGAGTAGTTTTTTAATTTCTTCAAGTGTAGTTTCAATTTTTTTTTTTTTTTTTAGCGCATAAGGAACATGCAAACAATTTTGAAATTGCCTTTGGGCTTGTCGAACTAGGACAAAATGGCAGGGGTTTCATGTTTCACTAGATATGATACTTTTCATTTCCCAAAATAGGATTATTATTGTTATTCTTGAAAGTTCAAAAGCTCTGAGCTAAACTTTACTGTTGCTCTTCATATTATGATGGAGATTAAGAGAATGCAGATAGAGCGCAAACAATCCACGTGGTTTCCCCTAACTCTTTTAGTTTACAGTGGATGCTTCGGTTCCAGATGACCATGTTGCTATTAATTATCTCCACGCAGATTTTTTGGATCTGTTGTATGGAGAAGTTGTTCGTTTGAAATCGTGAGTTTCATTTTCCTTTTAAGCAGTCGAGTTTAATTTTCTTGTCCATCATTAATTAATGACAATATTTCTGTAGGTTCACTATCCCTCCACCTCCAGATCTTGAATTAACCACACTTGGGCTAGAAGTTGAAGACACTGGGAAAAGAATTATTAAGGTAATATTAGTCGCATCTGATTCTGATGTACTTTAATTACTCTTATTTATTGTTGATGAAGTATAGCTAACGATTTTGGTTTTACAGGCTTCTCATCCACATATTACAAAAGATTTCCTACAACAATTCAAGGTACACATCTTCTGTAAGAAACAATTGCTGTTTTTTGAGCACAGAGGTGCAAGGGTACATATGAGAGTGTCATTTGCCACTCAAAAAGCTGGGAATGTTGGTAGAGGAAAACTTGTGAAGAAAACAGAGATACACTTCTTCGAGTCCGATTTATTTAAGGTGCGCATAGTGAATTAGAAGCAAAACCAATAGTAGTATCTTATTTAAATGTTTCCTTAGAGTTGAAATAACTTGAGATTTTATCTCTCTTTCTTGACTGTATTTGGGTGACTGCTCCCTTACCAAAATGAGCAATGATCTGTTTGTTAATACTTTGGTTCATTTTTGTTTAAGTTGATATCCGAGTAAGCTAAATAGATGAAAATTCCCCTGCTTTCTCTAAAATGATCTTTCTGAGGACTAAATGTTTAAGTGAATCGCCAATAAAGTCTTTCATTATATTTCAACTTTCTCCAAACTGATTCACTATGCATCTTTAATGATGGTTATATTTATTAGATGCTTGAGTATGTGTTTCTCTCTGAGTCGTTCGTTGTATGATTAGTCATGATCGTAGAGCGTTGGCTCCATAGCATTGTTCCACTGTATGTGTTAACTATGCAAAATTAGTTTTAATTAATCTTACTTGCTGCATATCTACTCTTTCCAAATATTATTTGTATATACATTGTTGTGCACGTGAAATCATGACGGTCTCTTTGCTGGAACCTGTGAGTTTGCTGCCCGAAGGAGCCAAGTTCAGCCCTTTCTAAGATTGTTGATATGCTGACCTTAAGAATTGTTAATGGATTATTCTGATAAATAGTATGCTTCATGAGTTAAGATTTTTATGTTACATCTCATACAGGAATTGGTCATAATCTCAACATGTACTCTTTGTCTCGGACCATTGTGCCCAACTTTGATATAAGTTTACACTAGAAATCATTACCTTAAGGGGAAACTGTGTTAGTTCATTACGAGCTGTTTTCTATAAATCTGAATGTTGATGTTCTTAGCATCTAGAAATGAGAAGATAACTAGAAGTTGTTATACAGATACCCCTCACAAAACATAACATTTAAGCTTGAGAAAAGAATTCCCGGTACATTTTTAGCTGACTTTTTAATTGCTTTTAACAATGTGGTCACTCACATTTTTTTTTTTTATGTTTAGGTAAGTGATCAAAAAGAAGTCGAAAAGGTTTTAAGAAGAGACTTCAACCTTCATGATATTGCGGCTGAAATGAAATCCTTGGGAGTTGGGGGATTCGGGAATGAACTCAAATTTCTCTTCTCTATGCTGGTTGTCCCTCGCTTTATACCACAGGAATATGCCAGAGAGTAAGGGTTTTCATCTATTCTCCATTTTAAAGAAGACTTTGCTAGTGTAACACAATGCTTATGTTTGTTCTTTGCATGGTTCGCTGCACATATAAACAAGGGGTAATATTTCATGGGCCGCCTGGAACTGGAAAAACGCTTATAGCACGAGCCATATCAAAAATTGTCAATGGAAAATTACAGGTTTCGAATGCTTTTATTTTAGGAAAATTCTTACTTCTTTTAGTTAGTTGCTTTCTTTAAAGTTGTTGCTTTTGTTTTCTCCAGATTGTAAGAGGGCCGGAAATATTCAGTCATTTTATGGGATCAAGTGAAGGCAAGATAAGAGATATTTTTAATTCAGCCATTAATGATCTTAATGAAAAAGGTAAGAATATGATTTGTGCTTTAGTTTTGTTTGTACTCCCTCCGGTCCAAAATAAGTGATTTTTTGGCCTTTTTCTTGTGGTCCAAAATAAGTGATTTTTCCAGATTTCAAGAATGAATTAATTATTTTTTTCCTACATTGTCCTTGGAGTAAATAGTGTTGGAATATGTGTTAGGAGTGTTTATGTGAGGTAGTAAAGGTTAATATGGTCAATTTCATTGCTAATTAATGTTAAAAGGTGGATTTCTTAATCTGTGTGAAAACATCCAAAAAATCACTTATTTTGGACCGGAGGGAGTAGTTTTTAAGTCATCGTCCCATCATTTTATCATTTAGGGGTCGTTTGGTAAAATGTATTAGGAAAAATAATACATGTATTAGCTTTGGTATTATTAATTCCTTGTTTGATAGTATTTGTCAACGTATGTATAACCAATATAACTATTAATTGTACATCATATTTAGTACTATTCTTATAGCAAATCATAGTATTAGCACTACCATAACTTTTAATACATGGATAAGCATGTATAAAAAACTGCCTTAATGTAATGTTTATTAAATAGCTTAACTCCAGTGTAAATGTTATATAGCTGCTATGGCAGTTCTTCAATTTCTCTTTTTAATCGTCTAATTTTGGGATTCTATCATATTTTTATTTGTTAGTTTGAGTGTAGATTATTTATTCTTTTGGTTCTCATGCTCTATATTTATATAATATGGATCACTTCATTTCCAATTTATCGAGATGACAAAATTTTCCCCAAATAGTTTAAGTGAGAATACCAAGTTTTTTTTTGTTTTTCGTTTTAAGAATGAATAACTAAAACTTTGCAAAGAAAGTATACAAAGGTAAAGAATGTGGAGGGTATCTTTGTAAATAAATAATTTTTAAAAAAAATTATGATGTTATTTTAATACATCAAACAAACAATCCCAACATAATTAATCTTTGCATTTCTAATATATCCTATTAAGTAATATTCTTATAGTACATCCTACGACCCCTTACTCCATAACCATTATGTAAAGCTTATTCCCATTTCTAGTGTGCATTGTTAATATAGTATATACATTCATCATCTCACCCTCACATAGACATCTCCAATAATGCACAAGCATTACCCAACTACTGTTTGTTCAAATGCCTTTGTAACTCTACCTATTTAGACATAATTAAGGCAGTCGTGTATATTTAGTTATACGCCAGCTAATGATGGATGATCTCATATAATGGAGGCAATAACTTGGCGTCCTTATTTATGTAATACAATGTGTTTTGTACTTCGTTTAAAGTGGTGTGCTTGGTCATAACATGACACATTATTTTCTTCAGGTGTTGAGAGCCCTCTTCATGTGATAGTATTTGATGAGTTAGATTCCATTGCAAGGGTAAGCATTTCTGAGTTGTTTAGCTTTTGTTCTACTTATTTTGACATCTCTTATCTTTTTAACTTTTGGCTATTGACATTAGGCAAGAGGAACAAATCCGTCTGACACAACATGTGATAGGGTTGTCAATCAACTGTTAACGATGGTTGGACTTAAACCTGCTACTCCTTTGTGCCACCCCTTCCCTCAACTCTATGCATTGCTTAGCTTTTGCTTCTTAATTTTAATTTATGTTATGTCTAACTAGTGAGTCTTAATAATATTAGATTGACGGCTATAGCGAGCTAAGCAATGTTTTGCTTGTTGGGACAACAAACCAGCTAGAGTTGATTGATAAAGCACTGTTGAGGTACTTTACTTATTCCAAATAGTATGAAGTGGAGATGCTTTAGTTTTATTTTGACATGTAATGAACTAATAGTAATATTATAGGCCCGGAAGATTTGAGTTGCATATGGCTATAGGTCTTCCAAATAAAGATGGACGAAAGGAGATTCTCAGGATTAATGTCAAAAGATTACAGTGGAAAGGTGCATTAAGTTCAAGTGTGAACCTTGATGAGTTAGGTTAGTTTAACAATAGTAATATTTTTGCATCTTAGATATTTTGATGTAAGAATTTTTTAAGTGTTTAGGGAGTAAATATATGTTTAATGTGCAGTTGAAAAAACAGATGGATTTAGTGGAGCTGATCTTGCAGCGTTGATACAAACATCATTTTTCCTCGCTGTGACTCGCGCTGTGCCACCAAATATAGCTGACACTGTTTGGACAGACACTATAGTTGAACAGGAGGATATTGACATAGCATTTGCCACACTTCAACGTACAAAAAGGTAAAATCCAAAGTTATGCTTTGTTTGAAAGAATCAATTAGATACATATGGAGCCCCTTAAAGTTGTTACAATTTTTCATTTTGACACTTAAACTAAGGCATATTCCCATTAGACATTTCAACCTTAGTCAATTCGTACCTATTAAACACATTAAGTTAAGATGCCAAAAAAAGTGTTTCTCACATTTCTTGGGCGCGTGAAGTGGTTTGACATTATTTTTTATCTTTGCTTTTAAAAGGTACTGTTTCTAAAAACCACGGCCACCATTTTTATGATTTCTCTCCTCCTCACTGGTTAGCCGGAACCTCAATGCCGATGAGACCAAGGCTCATCCCAGTTTGCCACATTACTTCACCATCTTCAATAGATTCCCCTCTTTCACCTTCAATCATCTTAGTTACTTTCTCCATCAAGAACACACCACAGATATCAGCCGTGAAGTACCACCCAAATAGATAACACCTTCTTTTTTCTTTGGCCAAAATATTGCGTAAACTCTCAGTTCTCAAGGGTATCAAAATTTACTGCATTTGGGGGAATCAGTTCCTCTGTTTCCTTCGATGGTGTTTGGTCAGTTTTTTATAAAGCATGATTCCAGCAACAATTCATTGATAACAACTGAATCAATTGGCTTCATCCACAATATATCAAAGAAATCTGTACATTTTCTCACTATTCAGTTTTAAGGAAGAAGGAAGGGCACTATGTTTAGAAGAGGGACCATTGATTTGGACAATGAAGCTTAAAGAGGACCATTACTGTACACCAAAAGTTTTGAAGCTGAGAAATCGTTTAATGTTGGTTTGGTGAAGTAACTTAGATCGAATTGAGCAATACTAATCTTTATTTGGTGAAAGTACTGCTGCATGTGAAAAGAATAAGAGGCACAGCATCTAATTATATATGAATTGAGCAATACTAATCTTTATTCTGAAGAATTAATATTGTGTTAGATGCGGTTAGTGGAGCTTATTTGTCCATTTTGTTTGTAGTAGTTGTGTATAATTTGATCTTTATTATTTTGTAATGGAGATGAGTTTTATTTTGTAAGCGGAATGTTACTATAAATAACTTATGCTGTGTGTGTTATTGTAGAGGAGGGGTTGAGCAACCGCAGGCTTGAATACATCAATATCCTGACATTTATGTAGAAATGGTTGTAGGTCCCTTTGCTCATGTAAGACTTACAACATTGTCATTATGTTAGTTTTTGCCACTTTTATTGCTCCAACATCTTGCACCATATGTATTATTGTTGTGGTTTGCTTAATTAGTATCTCTCTTTCGAAAAGTAAATGAAGCCTCTTAGTGGTTAGTTGTATAATCATCTTCACTAAATTCAAAAGGAAATGGTTGTTCTTTCCGGGTAATTCTCAATTTCTCATCACTAGGGGGACCCAATTGTGGGCTTCACCCACGGTTAAAGATGTTGTTGAGGCATGTATCATGAGTGTTCTTATAATTCCTTGAAAGGGAAGGCTCCATCTTTTTTCCATCAAAAGAAAATTTTTCAGTTTTTTTTTTTTTTTTTCCGGAGTGGGGCGAAAGGGTTTGAAAGAATTTAACACGTAAAGTTCCCTAATCCACTTCGCAACAGGTCTATATTCTTATTAACTCGTACGTAGTTTGCTGTGATCCCATGCCAAAATATCAAGGGGTTTTGACACAGTTATCCGCAAAAACAAAACTATTTATTCTAGTCTACCCATTTGTTTTTCTACCCATAAACTAATTACATTTCCTATTCATATTAGCTTTTGTGGGGAATTTTCTCTTTATTCTCCAATTCTTTTTTATTTCTATGCTTCTTTTCTTTTCTTTTTCTTTTCTCCTTTTCTTCTCTCGTTTTCTTCTTATTTTTTCTTTTTTCCTATTCTAATTTCATTTAACTTCTTTTTTTTATATTCTTTTTCTCTTCATAATCTAATTTCATTTACTTTTTCACTATTTTTACTATTCTTTTTTTATATATTATTACTAAAGAAAAATCAAATTGTGTACCAATTAAATGTAGCTAATACAATCAAAAAAATATACTAACATTTGATACCAGTATAGTATATAGTTATACCAACATGGTATACAATTGTACGTAAAGAGTTAAAAATAGTTTAATTCAATTATTAAACTGAAATAATATCAGTTGTCAATAAAAAATTTAAAAAAATCTAAAAGGATCTAATTGTAAGAGTATACCGTTACATTTTTTTTTTTTTGCATTTTCAATTTGCCGCTCACGCTAGGTAAAAGCTTAAAACAAATTAAAAGGGAAAAGGCAAGTGAATTTACGGGTAATAAGTATACTATTATAGTATATTGTATACTATTACAACATATTGTTACAATATCTTGCATATTATTACAGTATACCATAACAATATATTTGTATACTATAATGGTATACTATTGTAGTATAACTATATACTCCTATAGTATATTAGTATACTGTAGCGGTATACTGTTAGGTAAAGTGTTCTTCTTCGATTATTAATGTAGTTGTGTTCTTCTTCGATTTTCAACTGAAAATTTTGATCTCAATCACCTCAAATCAGCTCCAGTCTCGACCAAACTGACTCAACATTTAGTTACAGTTGCCAATCGATCTCACGCCAGTCAAAATCTAATCAAACGATTACAAACTCGATAAATGCAATTTATGATTTTCAAGTTTCAAGGTCTTTCAATGGTTGATCTAATTTTACTTACAATAAATCACTATGAACTTCTCAAAGGATATTAGAAATAGTTATTTGTAACATTGCACGTACAAAATAATTATTTATCTTATCATTAAACCATATCAAATCTCACTCATTAAAATCACAATAAAAAAACTGGACAGTGACTCGAACAAACACAAACACTACGAGAAAATATGAGATATGTAAGACGTACGGAGATAGTATTTTTGTTGTTGGAAGAAGAAACAAGAAGAAGGGAAAGGGGAAAGGGAAGCTTTAAGGAAGAGAAAGGTTGGTAAGGCAATTGAGAAATGAGTGGACGGGTAATAATTTTAATTGGGTTAGGTAAATATAGTAATTATTATTAAAATGGGTAAAACCGGGTTATTATTTTGCGTTTAGTGGGTAATTAGTGTAGTTTCCTCAAATATCAAGTGGTCATTGGGCTGACCCATCAGTTATTCCACGTAAATATGAGTCCGAGTTCATAGTCTGTCTTCCTTCCTACCAATACCATTTTACTCATAACGGATTTAATCGCATTTTGTAATGATTAAATAATTTAATAAGGTAAAAAATATTAATTAATCACAATTAAGTAGTACAGGTTCATGTACAAATATCAGTATTTATTGATTTGGTTTAAGCATTGTCTATTTTCTTACCTCCCAATAATTCATCCAAAAAGAAAACTTCTTCATCTGCAAGAGCCCCCCTAGTGGGATGGGAAAATTGTATAGATTGCATATTATGGATCGTGTGGGAAAGGGAGACAACATCGACCTATATAAGGAGGGATAAATAGATCAATTAATTCATCACCTGCACTTCGAGAAACTGATGTTGACACCACCAAAGAATGTGGTGTAGCAGATGAGGTTGTTCTCCCTTAACCAGAGGTTTCGAGTTCTAGTTTTAGGTGTGAAAAAGGGAACGATTTCTCCTCAAATAGGGTCTTAAGCGGAGCAATTCTGGATATAATCGGGCTCCAATACATGTACTGAACACAGGATGGGAAACAAAATAAAAAAAGAAGAAGAGAAATTGATGTCAACGGCCGGGGACCTCTACCTCCAAAAAAGAAGAGAAACTCAAGGTCAATACTCAGATTATATAATATATGTATAAAAGAAACATGATTAATTTCATGGAACGTAGAAGATATCTCTTTTGACATACCGATGGAAACTAGAAAATTTCTATTTTATCTATTTTATAGAAAAGTCTTGATGGTCGACCAAGGGTATTTCAGTAATTTCATAATTGATTTAAGTTAAATTTTAATTGCTTTGGTACGTGTAAATATTCATCTAGAATTTTCTACAACTCAGTCCTCCAACTAGCTTTCTTTCACCATTTAATTTGTTCATCATCTACGGATCTGTCGTTGCTGGCGAATTCTAGTAGCAATCTACTACCATTACTCCATTAGCGTTGACCTTTCTCTCTCGTTTTTCCTTGTCCTTCGTATCCTCTCTTAGGGATCTCTTGTTGCCTTTGATTTGCTTGGTCCTATCCTTTTCTAATTCTTGCTTTGGCACAACAGTATCCCAATGGTTAACATCTTCTTACCCATAGTTGAAGCCAAAGGTGAGTAGACGAGGTATCTGCCACTTTTTTATAGATACTTGCAAGTGTAAATTTGCGAATTTTTTCCACCACTTATGCTTAGACTCATGCAAAGGGAGTTGTTCAAGCATTTTGGATTATTTTTTCTCATTAAGGAAATGATATAGAAGCTCGAATTCGGTTCAATGTGCTGGAATTGATGAGGGATTGTGCTCTTCACATAGGTGGTTTAACAAATTAAGAAGTAATTAGATTTCAAATACATCTATGTGTTTTACAATTTGGTATAACATTGTGTCCTACTGCTTGCTTAGTATCTGTGTTGATCCAATCAAACGCTCTTATAGCCCTATTCTTTCCTTCACCAAGTTCCGTGTTTTCCGTTGTTTTTCTTGTAATTTTTCTTCCAAACCTCCTGTTGAATGAGGTTTGAAGTTGATCCATGATCCAAAATGGCAGTTTCTTAGTTTTACTTTCTTTACTTTATTATTTCAACTACAAAAATATTTTTAGGAGTTGCATTATGTGCATAATTGGTTGTCAATGTGTAATCAATGCAGAGTATGAGATTTTTAAGATCATAAAGGTGATAAACTTATGGTTAGTTCTTGGATCTTTATAGTTTAACTGAAAAAATGGAGGAGAAAGCATTATTCCCATCAACTTGCACATTTGATGTACAAACATACATTAGCTATTATCGGCAAAAGTAGCATGAAGAGGTTGTGTAGAAGGTTTCGAGTTATATGATTGTTTTGTTTAAAACTTCACTGTGACGAACCAAATAATAAAAGCTTAAAAAGCATCAATTTTTTGGCAGATATAGCAGGAAAATTGATAAAACATTATGAGTGTACAACTCTGGTTTCATGATTTTAATATTCTATTTCCTAATTCTATGGTCAGGTTTTCAATGTTCTGTTTCAAGAACCCCAAATGCTAAGGATGTAAAAAAAAAGATTTTTTTACTAAAGAGCTACTTGCAGAGGATGAAAGAAAAGCTGCAGAAGTTTCAATTCTTATGTCCTGGTGGCACTAAAGAGGTAGTTGCAGATGATGAAAAGAAATTTGTTAAAATTTCATTCCACATTTTCTGATTGTTTTAAAAGTGTGTTTTCACTTTCAATGCATGACCATCTACTCATCTGAAAGTTGTTTATGTATTATATTTCTCCTTTGTGGGTCAATTTGGGTGTAGAAAGTATGAAAAATAAAAAGTTGGAAGATCTGGGTGATTCAGGAAATGCAAATAATCATAGTGTACCATTAGAACCTGAAACTACTAGAGTGACAAACACAATATTAGAAATTAAGAGGTAACTGAACATTAAAAGTATACTGAAGTTAATGGGCTGTATTCTGCATTTTACCAAAGGTAATATGTGCTGCAACAGACTTCTTACAGGGTATAACTGAAGAGGAAGAGTAATAAACTTCTTCCACGTGTTTGTTTCTATGCCCTTTCTAGAGCATACAAACCCAATCTCTTAATTACATTGCATATACAATGTTAACAAAAGGGATGTGCACAACGGGTCACTTGGAAAAGTTGTACCCTTATTTGCGGAAATGCTTGAATGGTATCTCTCGATGTTGTTGCATACACTGTACTTCTAAATGCATTTTGTTAATTTGGTGTATTGATTGTGAGAGCTGTTTTTATTACATATTTTTCAAATTCTAACCATAAGAGGAAAAGTTTGGACAAATATTCCCCTTTTCTTCCCTTCTTTTACATCTTTATGGTCTACGTCTGAATGAAAATTCCAACTGATATATTGTCACGACCCCAACCCCAGTCGTGATGGCGCCCAACATACTACTAGGCAAGCCTGACCAATTAATAACCTTAACCCAATCCTCATGCAGTTCATTATTAACTAACACAGATAAATTACCAAGTCATAGTACTAGAAGTCTGAAATAAGAGTTTAACATGCGGAATTTCAAATAATAATCCTACTACATAGCCCAAAAGATCCGGTGTCACAAGTTTGAGCCTCTACTACAAGTTTATCAACCTGATACATATCAATCTAGGAAAAACGGATAGAACAAAAGGATAGAAGGGAGAGATCAGGGCTGCGAACACTATGCAGCTACCTCAATGCTCCCAGGTATGCGCTGCTCAACTGAAAATCCTCACGCAGTCTCAGATGCACCTGGATCTGCACGCAAGGTGCAGGGAGTAATGTGAGTACTCCGACCCAGTGAGTAATAAACATAAATAAAGGCTGAGAGTTAGAAATCACGGAAAACATAGAGCAATCTATAATTCGGCAGTTTAAAACAAGTAATATGAAAGCGATAAACCAATGAAATCGAAATGTGACAATACTACAACAAATAAGCAGTTAAGTGGCAGGTATAGAAAGGAAAATCAAACACATAGAATGGTACCCTCTAGTACCCGCTGCGGCGTGCAGCCCGATCCATTTATTTATCGTCGACGGCGCTCACTGGGGGTGTGCAGACTCCGGGAGGGGCCCCTTACGGCCCAAGCGCAATATCAAGCCATCTCGTGGCATCAACTAGGCCCTCGTCCTGGAATCAATATCAACATAATACTGCTACGGCGCGCAACCCGATCCATACTTAGTCCAGAAATAGCATAAGCCCCTCGGGCCATAATAATATAAAAATTCTCAGCCCAAAACATCATTACAAATATCATTTAAGTTTCAAATCTGAGTAAAAGTGGCTGAGTTTGTAAAACAATATTAAACAATAGAACTGAGTTCAAGTAATATGTCAAAATGGTGAGGAAACAGTGATAGCAATCCCCGAAGGGTTCAAATAGTTGCCCGAAGCCCAAATATAACGATTAGTCCAAATAATGATGATATCAAATAAGCTTCAATCAATTACGAAGTAAAAACATCACTTGGGACGGGCCAAGTCCCAATCCCCAATAGTAAACAACCCCGCGCTCATCATCAAGCGCGTGTCTCACCTCACTATATCACTACAATGTGCAAATCCGGGGTTTCAAACACTCAGGACGTCATTTACATTCATTACTCACCTCAAACCGACCAAAGCTCTAGCTCGCAATGCCCTTGCCTCTCAAATCGGCCTCCTCGCGCGTCGAATCTGACCAAAACTAGAGTGAATACGTTACAATAGGCTAAGGGAACAAAGCCCAAGCAAAAACAATCGAAAAATATCAAAAATCCCGAAATTGGCAAAACCCGAGCCCCGGGCCCATTTCTTGAAACTCAGAAAGTTTTACACCAACGGGTTCTTTTTCTCGCCACGAGTTCACACATATCAAAAACACAAGAATCAGAGTCCATTTGACCCCTCAAATCCTTAATCTTAGCTCTCTTAAGTTCAAGCCCTAAACCTCCATTTTTAGTCCATAAATCCCTAAATTTTCAGTACTAATTCATGAAATAACACCATAGGATTGTGTTTTGAGTCAAAAGTCCTTACCTTATCGAAGTTCTATTGAAATCTCCCTTCAAAATCGCCCAAAAGCCCTCAATCCGAAGTTAGGAATGATGAAACCCTTCAAAAATCGCGAAGGATGAAATATATACCTTCTGCCCAGGGGTTTTCGCATCTGCGACCCCTCCATCGCTTCTGCGGTACCACATTTGCGGTTATAAGTCCTCTTCTGCGGAAATTCATTAAAGGCCCAAATCTGCATCTGCGGCCCACCAACCGAATATGCGGCTCCGCAGGTGCGGGCACCCCACCGCATTTGCGGTCCCAACATTTCTCTCCCAAAACCGCTTCTGCGGTCTAATGGTCGCATTTGCGACTCCGCAAGTGCGGTCCCCATACTGCATCTGCGGTTCCTGACTCTCCTTCTTAAAACCGCATCTGCGCCTTTCCTTCCGCATCTGTGACACCGCACCTGCGGTCCCCGAGCCGCAGGTGCGAAAACACCAGAAGCAGCAAGGAAATCTGCAATCACTCAAGTTCCAAAACTTCCCGTTAGCCATCCGAAATCACCCCGAGGCTCCCGGGACCTCAACCAAAAGCACCAACACCTCCAAAAACCTCATTCAAACCTGTTCCAATCATCAAAACACCTCAAACAACACCAAAACCATCAAATTACATCGAATTCAAGCCTACGTTCTTCTAAAACTTCCGAAACACGCATTTGATCAAAAACCCAACCAACTCACCTCCGAATGACCTAAAATTTTACACACACATCCCAAATCACCTAACGAAGCTACAACAACTCTCGGAATTCCATTCCAACCCTCGGATCAGAATCTCACCTATCGACCGGAAATCGTCAAAATACTAACTTCGCCAATTCAATCATAGTTCTACACCGGACCTCCAAAACCACTTCCGATCACACTCCTAAGTCACAAATAATCCCCCGAAGCTAACCGAATCATCGAAATTTGCATCCGAGCCCTCTAACTCATAAGTCAACATCCGGTTGACTTTTCCACTCAAGCCTTCTTAAAAGAGACTAAGTGTCTCATTTCCTACTAAAATCACTCCAAACCAACTCGATCACACAAGACACTGATATTGAAGCATAAAGAAGCAGAAAATGGGGAAAACGGAGCGGTAACTCATGAGAAGACGGGTCGGGTCGTCACATCCTCCCCAACTTAAACAAACGCTCGTCCTCGAGTGAGTCAAGAAACATACCTGAAGCCTCAAATAGGTGAGGGTATCTGCTCCGCATCTCCCGCTCGGTCTCCCAGGTAGCCTCCTCCACGGGCCAACCTCTCCACTGCACCTTCACTGAAGCTACATCCTTTGACCTTAATTTCCGAACCTGACGCTCCAAAATGGCTGCTGGATCTACATAATAAGTCAAATCACCCTCCAACTGAACCGTACTGAAATCCAGAACATGGGACGGGTCTCCAAATACTTCCAAAGCATAGAAACATGAAAAACTCTTTTGTCTCGACTGCACTGTACGAAGTCTCTCCTGAATCACCTTCACCTTCTCTAATGCATCCTGGACCAAATCTGTCCCCAATAGCCTAGCCTCACCGGGCTCGAACCAACCAACTGGAGATCTACACCGCCTCCCATAGAAAGCCTCATACGGAGCCATCTGAATGTAGGAAAACTCTGCAAGCGGTAGGAACCGATCCCATGACCCTCCAAAGTCAATAACACAGGCGCGTAGCATATCCTTTAATATCTGAATGGTGCGCTCGGACTGCCCGTCCGTCTGAGGGTGAAAGGCTGTGCTCAACTGTACCTGAGTACCCAACTCTCACTGAACAGTCTGCCAAAATTGAGAGGTAAACTGAGTGCCCCGATCTGATATAATGGAAACTGGGACACCATGCAACCGAACAATCTCCCGAATATAAATCTCTGCCAGCCGCTCTAAAGAATAAGTAGTACAAACAGGAATGAAGTGCGCGGACTTGGTCAGCCTGTCTACAATCACTTAAATAGCATCGAATTTCTTCAAAGTCCGTGGGAGTTTGGTAACAAAATCCATAGTGATCCTCTCCCACTTCCACTCGGGAATAACCATCTGCTGATGCTAGCCACCCGGTCTCTAATGCTCATATTTCACCTGCTGACAATTGAGACAACGAGCTACAAACTCCACAATATCCTTCTTCATCCTCCGCCACCAATAGTGATGTCTAAGATCCTGATACATCTTCGCGGCACCCGGATGAATGGAATACCGCGTGCTATGGGCCTCCTCCAATATCAACTCCCGAAGCCCATCCACATTGGGCACGCAAATCCGGCCCTGCATCCTCAACACACCATCATCACCAATGGTCACATCTCTGGCATCATCATGCTGAACCGTGTCCTTAGGGACAAGCAAATGCGGATCATCATACTGGCACTCTCTGATGCGATCATACAAGGAAGATCGAGAAACCACACATGACAACACCCGACTAGGCTCCGAAATATCTAGTCTCACAAACCGATTGGCCAAGGCCTAAACATCAACTGCAAGGGGCCTCTCCCCAACTGGAATATATGCCAAACTCCCCATACTCACTGCCTTTCGGCCCAAAGCATCGGCCACTACATTGGCCTTCCCCGGATGATACAGAATAGTAATATCATAATC